ACACAAGGTATTTATAATTTATAGCTTACTATCAACTTGGCTGTCTCTCACTCACTCTGTGCCCCTCGCTCTCCCTCCTTTTGATTTAATGATGCCTACTACCGGAAAGCTTTTTCTATTGGAAAAGCATTTTTCATGTCAGACAACTGGCCAATCCAATTAAACAAAAACTGCCCAGCTGCCAACAGTTTTCTCACTCTTGCGCCTCTAAATCAACTGTTTCGCTTTCTCCTGCACCGGCTGTCTCGCTCCGTCTCCGTCTCCCTCTCTCGCAGCTGGTGCTTTTTGTATGTTATAAGTCATTAACTTTCTAAATAATCGCCGCAGCGTGTCAACTTTGGTCGTTAAACTTTCATCAGTCGAGGACGTAACGGTAACTGCTGGGATGCTGGATTGAGGATTGAGAATCCCAAAAAAAAAAAACACACACACACAGAGTGTGAGAGAGAGACGGCAAAGACAGAGAGAGATGAGAAAAAATTAAGCTCTCTGGACACGCGACAACGTCGCAAAAACCGGAGCAAAATTTATAGCAAGATATTATTTTCCGCTCGATGAGCAGACAAGTCGTAGGGCGACTTTTGGCACTCACTGTGCGGCGGTGTTCCTTATGACTGCCAGCCCTGCCCGCTTCCATCTAGAACCTGTGGCCGTGTTTCTCGGTGTCGGTGCGTAACTGAGCACAAAAATAAAAAAATAAAAAAAAATACGCCGGCACATTGTGCCATAAATGAAGACATTATAAACGATGCTGCAGCACGACCCACCTCAACCACCCGAGACCACGCTCAATCTGACTGTGTGTGTGTGTGTGTGTATGTGTGGGTGGGTGGTGGTACATGTACGAGTTTGCGTGGGTATGTGTGTAAGTAAGTGAGCCCAAGATTAACGGTAGACATTGTAAGACACTTAAAGCTGCTGAAGATTTTTGAGTCGCTTTGTGGTTGGGGGTTCAATGAACTATATGATGACGCGCCTTATATGATATATTACAGCTTCCCAAATGTGCCAGCGAGCGCACATAGCCTACAAATATATACCCATATATATATATATATATATATATATATATATATATATATATATACATATAAGAGCAGGTGGCAGCCGGGCAATAAATGTATTATATGAAGATAAAACTGTTTGAGGAAATGGCATACACACATAAAATGAAACAGCCAGCAGCTGCCTTTCTAGGCGATTCTCAGTATTATCAACTGTTATTTTGTAGCCCCCTATAAACATTTATAGCTCGCAAATGAGTAAACAAAGACTAAAGGTCACATTCCGAGCATATACGAAAATATGATAAATATTTGGGTATTATAGACCTCTGTTATTTTTAGTAGTAGTAGTAGTAGTTAGTAGTAGTAGTAGTAGTAGTAGTAGTAGTAGAACTTTTTTTTTTACTCATTAAATTTTTAATGACGTTTTCTTATCCCGAAGAATCATTAGGAAATACTCCCTTAGATAATTAATCCTATGATACTTATTTAGTCTATAAAGTTAGGCTGAATATTTTAAAGTTCTTTGAACTTTTCGGATGGAATTCTTGAAGTTTCAAATGCAATTTCGGCTTGTCAATTAATCTGAATACCATACTTTATGGTACAATGCAAAAGCCGCAATCTGCCCGCTTCCTTCCCAGCAGCCGCCGTCCCTTTGTGCCGTGCTGTTGCCTTCAATTCCAGCACTTAAACTTTCAGTGGAAAAGGTCATTTTCGTGCACTTTGTCCCTCATCAAAAGCGCTGCTTGGCTGCCTCTTGCGGCGAGTGCTTGTTGGAGACCGCAGCATTTAACGCTTCACAGGACAGCGCCAGGACTATTACGCACAAACAGGCAAGGCACACACACAGACACACACACACGCACACACTGCCTAGGCACACCTTTTGTGCAGTTGGTTAAAAAGCATTTTAAGCCCATAAATTACGCATCTCACAATGAAATAATCAAAATGTAAACGCAGTTGCATTGAATTTGCTGAAATATCTGCTGCCTCCTTCAGTTCGCCCTTTTGCCCCTCCCTTGGCCTGGGTTGCTTTGAGTTGATTGTTTTTGGCCGTGGCGGGCGGGCATGAATGCCAGTCACATTATTTCCATAAATTTGCGCTCGTTTCCGTTTCCGGCGCACTTCAAACGTTTACGCGCTCTATAACCAGCTGGACGCAGTCACACGCACACTCGCCGAATAACTGTAAAATGTAAAATGTACCTCAAAGCCGCGATATAAATTTGCCAATGATTTACGGGCGCTAAATGTTCTATTTATGTGTTTATGTCATTTAAATGGGCCAGCCGCAAGTTTTGGCTCGTCTAAGTTTTTGCGGGTCTCGTCCAACATTTGATTTGTTTATTATGCAAATTTCGCGCTTGCCAATTGTTGTTGTTTTTATTTTCATTTTGCATTACTTTCGTTTTATTATTCCCTCTCTCTCTCCCTCTCACACTGTCTCTCTCACTCGCTCTTCGTCAGGGCGCAAACATTAAACTGCAAATTACCATTTATGCAATTCATGCGGAAATACAAACAAAAGTCAATTTTATGGGGCGAAATTGTTGTTGCCTTCGGCGTTGTTGTTGTCATTTACTTTTCTTCTTTTTTTTTTTTTTTTTTTTTTTTTTGGCAAGCCCTTAATATACGGTTGCCAAAGGAAGCAGAGTGGGGGCTGCCATTTTTTAAGTGTTCCCTTTATTATTATATCAGCTGCCGGGACAATTTTTTTTTTATATGCGTTAATAAATTTTTATGCAATATTACACAATTGGGCTGGCACGAGAGGATGGCGAAATCATCATCGTTTAAATGGCATATCAAAAATGAAATTATTTTTGTGAAATAATTTGTCGCGGGACAAACGAGGACAGCACTCAACAGGCAGGCAGCCAGACAGGCAGCCAAGCAGTCAAGCGGCCAGGCCAGCCAGACAATGCGTGCCACCTACCATGCGTATACGTAATATTCTGCCAGCAAACTAATGCAAGCGGAAAGTATAGCTGGAAGAGAGTTTGCCCGAAGAGCAGCTCACCTAAAGATGTTGACTTCTCAAAATTGCGGAAAACTTTGATGCATAAATTAAAGCAATTTGCAAGGAAAGTTTAAAAACTTTTCTTTATAAAATTAAGCGAAAATGCAACCCAACATATTCACGAACAAATTTTATCACTTTTCTAGGGTTATGGCTAATTTCCCAAGAGATTTACAGAATCTTTGCAGTTTGAGGAAAAAATAATATACAAAAATCAAGACATATGTGGGAAGATTGAATGAAGAGTGTGGGAATAAGAACGCTTTTCATCGCATTAAAGAAAATTGAAGTTGTTTGGATATATAGAACATAATATTTTGAAGAAAATTTAAGTTGATAAGATAATATTTGGTACGCGATTAGAGCTGCAAGGTTTTTCAAATCATATTTTCACATTTTTTTTTTTTTTTTTTTTTTCTTTAAATATATATTTTCCATTAAATATCTTATCTGAATCAAAATCTCCAGGTAGGCAATTCCTTTCAAGCACCAACCGTAGCACACTCGCTTTTTGTCAGAGTTTCCGCTTTGTACAGAAAAATCACGTGGAACCTCGAAATATGTACACATATAAATATATATGTATATATTTACGCAGCTTTTTAGCGTAACTGAATATATATAAATATAATTTGCATACTAGTACATCAAAACTTTTCGTCACTCTGCATTTCGGCTTGAGAATTAAATTCACATTTATATTAAAAGTACATTAACCCGCAAAAATTACCGCCGTAAACAAAAACTTTTGTTTTGCGTAAATTTGAAAATAAAAAAATAAAAAATAAAAAAAAAAATAAAATATATATATATAAACATATATAGTCTGTGCCAATTGTTTGTGCCCCACAAATTTAAATCGGAATTTTCGACTTAATTTCAAGACTGTGATTTACTTCAAGATGTATGAAGTGCAGAGCTCTTGGAGATTTTTGAAAATCTTTAAAGAGTCACAACATTTTCACATCACGTACGCAACTTTACGACAGCCACTGTGGGCAACAATGTAAAGAGCATACTCTGAAAGAAATTTAGAAGAAAGCAGGCAGCAAATGAAGTCGCCAAGCCGTAGACAACAATAAAATTATTCGAATGTACATATATATATGTATATATTTCTTTTTTTCTGATATTTTAATATGCGGGCAATGCCACTCGAGGAGCCAGAAGCTAACCAAATGAATGCAGCTCCGCTTCACATTTGCTGTGCCATTTTATTTGTCACGCGTTTTTATCACTTTGCGTGGGGGAGAGAGTAAAGGCAGCGTATGTGTGGATGTATATGTATGTGTGTGGGTGTGCGTGTGTGTGCGTGCGTGTGTGGTCCCAGCATCAGATTATCACATTTGCATACGCCGCTGTTGCTTCGTGACAGGACAGTGCGATGATGATGACGATGACGACGGCAAGGGATATGATATAGGAGTTTCAGTTAAGGCTGTCTCAGCATCTGTGTGTTTGTGTGTGTGTGTGTGTGTGTGTGTATGAGTTGAAAGGCATATAACCTCATATGCAGACAGACCCAACCTGATGTGTGACATTTGCTGTAAGCGACATTTTACCGTCCAACATGGACTGATCAGGATTGAATTACACCCACAATCCGGGAGTCGGTCACTTTGATTGCAAACGCTGCGAATGGATGCGAATTTCGACTGGGCTAGTATGTGTGTGTCTCTGTGTGGGTGTCTGTGTACGTGCGTGTGTGTGTTTGGGTTTTTATGACGCAACTTCCGCGCAGCAAAACGTTGACAAATATTTTATTATCACATTTTATGATTTTATGAGTCCCCGGATATGAATCACTGAGTGGTGAGACGTTTTCCACACCGACCCCCCACACACACACATACAAACACAATCACACACTATCACGTAGACACATAACAGTGGATGATGGGCTTAAGCACACAAATACACAAACACACACATATATATACATACATACATATAGTGAAAGCTTTGCTTACCGTTTTTATCCATTGATTCCAACAAAATTTAAACTCCTCCCTATCGATGAAGCCATCGCCGTTCTTATCAAAGACAGCGAATATTTGCTCGAGGCGTTCGTGTGGCACATCGTAGATGTGGCCCTTGTCATTACGGAACAGAGCACGGCAGATTAGCGTAAACTCAGCCAGATTCAGACGGTCATCGCTGCGTGGGAGTCGAGTGCCAGCAAAGGTGAATCAGGCATGAAAATAAACGAGAGCGCAAGATAGAGACGGCTGCCAGATGGAAAATAAACTTAACTTAGTTTCTAGTAACAAAATCAGATGAGAGCACATTGAGTCAGGCCGTGTTTGAGGGGGGGAGGGCGAGCGGAGGTCCTCTGATGTTTCTATAAGCCTGCTGCTAGCTGCCAGTTGGGGTTGTTTGTCATTGTAGCCGACTGTCACTTGGCAGCCGAGCTTTAAGTTCCATTCAGATTTCACTTATTTATAGCACACTTTTTGGGGCGCGCCCTCGGCAACAGCAGCTGCTTTCAATTTGTATTGCGTTTAATTAAGGTAAAATTAATGCGATTACGTTTATTGATTTGCGCTTAAAATGAATGGCGCCATAAAACTGTTGAAAATGTCAATTAGAATTAATTTATGCAACATTTGCATAAATTTTTTATTCAACTTTTGCGTACATAAATTAACTTAGATTTCGCCCTCAAATGAATCGAGCGATTTTATTTATTTTCTTTTATTTTTTTCATAATTAATTATTAATACCTGTCATGGCCCTTGTTGATGCTGGTAATTCACTTGATTTTATTTATTTATTTTCATGATTCACATTTTTCCTGTTTGCTCAATGTTTTTCTTCTCTCATTTATCAAGAATTATTTTACTATTGACCAGGCCCAAACGGGCACTTAATGCCAATTCAATTCCAATTCGCTGTATTATTTCATCTTGACTTGTCTACAGATCCACCAAATGTTCATTTCATAACATTTAAGCTTCAATAATTAAATAAAATTTGTAGTTTGGCCACATTTTTGGATGCTGTGTATTATTCAATTATCTTTAAATGAATATGTGAATATGTGAATGCAAACAGTGAATATTGAATGCAAATAAATATTCATGCAGTTTCGCTTAATTAATTTAATCGCAATATGCCCATTTCGCAGTCGGCTCTGTCCACAGGGTGTACAAAGAGAATTATTATTAAGAAAAATATTGCATGTGCTTATCACAATTAATAATATTTCACAACTTTATGCAATTTGATGCAATTTAACTGTTTGTTTTTAAGTTAATTAAAGTGCATTTAAAAATTATTCGAATGCTTTTACAAGCGGCACGCGAATTGTATTATATTAATAATGAAATTAGTCAGTAAATATGTAAAATGTGTTAAGGCATTTTCCAATGCGTGTTCTGAATTAATATTATTGATGTATTTTATTTAAATGATTTTAGTTTATATACATTTTTGTATAAATTAATATTTTTCTTATTTTTTACATTTCCAATAATTTTTATTACATTTTATAATTTATATATTTTTTTATTTATTTATTTTTATTTTTTTTTTTATTTTTACGTTTTGTTTGTCCGTCTGTCCTCTGTCTGTTCGATACGCACCCATCCTTGTCGAATGCCGTGAAGCAGGCGTCCATAGCTGAACCGTTCGAATCGTCGATGACAATTGGCGGTGTTGGTGAATCCATAACTGCGACAACGTTGCTAACGTGTCCAAGCAGCAAACAACTAGGGCGCTCGACGTGCGGCCTCTCTGAACTTGCCACTTAATGAAGCACGGAGACGAAGCCAACTGCAAGTTAAAGTGAAACCATCAATAATAACGCCAGTAGGCAGACACTCTCTCTCACACAACACACAAACAAATGCACACACACATATGCCACGCCCACTGCCCAGTACCGTTAAGACTAGTGTCTGGTGGTTACCCGGCTTACCCGCTCAGTTTGGACGCCCGCCAGTTACTGAGCCACCGGCCGAGGCCCGTTCCGATACTCGCCTTGCAATAGATTTATCGAATAAACAAAACAACGCCCGCACCACCCGCACCACCCGCACCGCTCGCACCGTTCGCATTGTCATGACGACGACGTCATCTTGTGGTTTATTTTATTTATTTGATTTCACGCCCCACCCATTGCCACCCGGAGCCAGCCAAGCGAGAGCGGCTTTTGTGGCTGCGCCCGCAGCGATTACCTGGCGGCCTTTTTCCTAATCAAAAACTGCGCATTGTGTAAGCCTTTAGTGAATGTTGTTGTTGCTGCTGTTATTGCTGTTATTGCTGTTGCTTTTGTTGTGAAAATGTGAAAACGCCTTTGCAGCAGTTGCCACAACAAAATGCCAAAAGCTGCACCAAAGTTTCCAACTCGTAACCATCAAAACAGGAAAAAAAAAAAAAAAAACAAGAAATGCGGGTGAATCCACTGCAATTGCCAACGAACTGTGCGAGTCGCGATGTATGCGAGTGGCGGAGGCGATTTTAAACGCGTCGAAAGTACAGTTGCGCACACAAACATCATATGTGTGTGTGTGTGTTTTTTTTTTTTTTTTTTTTTTTGGTCCTGCTTTTGATTGGCATATGTTCTTTTTGCTTTGTTGAAGGGAAAGGAAATTTTCGTAGAGGGCTCCACTCGACGACTTGAAATCCAGCTCTAACTAACAAGGCCAATTGTTGACGTTTTGAGGGGCTTTCAGCTACAACTACTTCTTCTTCTTCTTCGTTGCCCAAGCCCCAACTTCTCATATCGTCTGTGAGGAATGACAATGAGCATTTTGTTAGCTAACAATTTGGCAATTATTAACTGTATGTAGTTCGCTATTTAGCTACGCGGAAATTGAGGGAGCTCATTAGTTTAGGGTACGAGTTTTTTAAGAAATTAAAATTATATACGTATATATATCTATAATCATATAAATTTATCTTTGGATCAGAGTTCTCGTCGCAATAACCGTAGGGACAGAGTCGTTATAGCCGGATTCTACTGTAGTTTATGACCGATAATGAGAAAGATAATGATAATCATATTAATGCTAAAAATATTTATGATACCACAGCTTAAGATAATAATGATAATAATAATAATAACAGTAATATTTGATCGAAGAAAGTGAGAGAACGGTGCTCAGTCAAAGTTACACCTTGAATTTTGACGATATAAGGGATAGCCACTCAAAGATGGCAGATCCATCACATGTGATTGATTGACAAATTATGCATAACATATTTTTATTTAAATTTTTTTTTTTTTTTTTTTTTTTTTTGATGATAGTCATAGTAATGATAATGGCAATAACAATAAAAATATGATTATCAATGTTTATTCAAAAATAAATATAAATAATGTCCCGTTCAGTCTAGCGTCTTGACTGTAACCTGAGCCGCAGCTAGAAGCAGCATAATCCTTCATTCTGCTGCCTGCTCCCCCGTGAACAAGTGGGATTTGTGGTCCGCAATCGCCGGGAGCTCTGCAGCCAGAACCAAAGTATATAAGCCATAAAGCCATAGATTTCCATTCAACTTAAAGTCGCCGTCGCCGTCGCCGCCAAGCAGCAGGCATACAGGCCGGCTCTAAGCCGAGCATTGTGCATGTTGTGCCGACATATACGGGCTAATGCGCAGCGAGCAATAAATTTAAATTTATATGGATGTTTACTTAATATTAAAGATTTATGCACAATATGTGGGCACAGCGACTGCAGCAGTCATTCACATGAGAATATATACGTTTATATATATATATATATGTATATGATATATATATGTATATGAATAGAGGTGGAAAAGGTCTAATAAAATAAAAATATGGCACAGCAAATGTGACCGGCAATGGAGCCTGGTCATGATTTATGCCAACGCATAGAAGCCAATCCCTGACCTATGAACCCAAGACCCCTTCCAGCCACTCCTGTAACCTCCCTCCCCCCACACTCCACTGCTTTTGCTAGCCGCATGAATCAGCAGTAAAAATCTGTAAAGGCCCAGCAGCCACATAAAACCCATAAATGATTACTCAGTTAAGAGTCTTCGCTCCACTCTCTGGCTTTTGTACTTTAATATACTGGAAACTTGGCCGCAGATAAACAAATAACAAATAACAAACAATTTTAAGGGCCGCTTGTGCATGTGTGTGTGTGTGTGTGCGTGTGTGTGTGTGGTCTTTCTGCTGTTCGCCTTGTGCTACAATAAAAATGCGCATAATTTGCGCTGAGCTAAACAAAAGTTTCGCCCAAATAAACATAAGTACAACTCCCCAAGGTAATGGATGGATGCGGGGGAGGTGGGGGAGGCAGGGATTGAGTTTCCAGGCGCCACAACACTAATTGAAAACTATTTTTAGGCAATGGCCCGCAGTGCCCGGGCGGGGGGTTAATATGTAAATGGAGGATAACGCGAAATGCGCAAAACTTTTGCTGCCAAAACAATTTACGCGGCATTAAGCAAAACGCAAACGCAAACGCAAACTGAAATGCTCACCTTACCAGGCCCTCAGCGAGGCCAGCACATATTTATTTAGATTTGTTGTTTTTGTGCTCTTTTAGGCGGAGCCTCCAATTGTTTTCGATTAAAGCTGTCGACGTCAAAGTCATTGACTAAATAAAAAGCATCATAAAAGTGAAAGCATTTAGCCCCAACTCTGATTCGTCATTGCCCCTCACACTTGGCCTCGCCCGCATCAAACGGCAAAAAACTTTGACAATTTTGGCAAATAATGAAGCCCGCACGTGTCGAAATTGTTTGCTCCAGGTGAGACAGTCGAAAGGTGAGACCCGAGTTGGCACCCAAGAAGAACTTCATCCTGACTGCTTGACTGTGACTGAAGCTCCAAACTTTGATGGAATAAGAAACCTGAAAGACACTTTAAGCTCAACTTTCCACCAATCATCGCAGTGCAGAGCCATGCGCATTATGAAAATTAAAACAAAAAACCAAAAAAAAATTTGAATGCGTGAAACTTGAGATATGAATTTCCTGCTTGAATTTGAGCTTATAAGAAGTTGAAACTGCCGCCCTGAAACTGAAACTGAATGTGAAAAGGCTTATTGGAGATATTTTCAAACATGTGGAAAATTCGTAGTACATCAAGAGTTTTCAAGGTAGATAAGCTCTATATTTTCTTTAGATTATTTTACATATTAAATTTAAATTAGATCTAAACTAAATTCAAAGAGAATTTTTGATAGAAATCTTAAGCCAAGCTTCGACAGACTTGAGTCAGGGTCTTAGCAAATCTTAACAAAGCCCTCGCGGCTTAAATCAATGCAAATGAGGAGCACGAACCAACTATTTACATGGCAAACTGAAATCAAGGCAAACGAATTTCAGAAACTAGCCCCAAACGCCATTTATTTCCTTTCCTTTATGTAATCACTCCAAGCGGCGTGTCATCAAGTCAGCCATAAACAAAAATCATGGCTGCGAATCTTTTGAAGAATTTTAGTGGTTCTTCATCAGGGCTGTCGCAAAAGCTGTAACTCACAGAAGGCGAAGCGGAAGGCGGAATACGGAAGGCGGATGGCGGACAGCTAAGCGCTGATGGTTGAACGCCGAACGTTGAACGTTGAACGGTGAACGGTGAACGGTGAACGGTAAGCGGTGAAAACTGAAAGCTGAAGGCTGATGGGCTGAAGCCTGAAAGTCTTGCATAATTTGCCAGTTGGGGCACTGAAAAGTAAATTACCGCCTAAGAGTTCCTGCTCAGCTGGATGGGGGCGCGTCAAAAGTGGCTTGTCAAGCCGGTGGGATCAGCTAATAAACCACGCAATGCACGCGGCACCAACTGGCGCAGGAGCAGGAGCTGAAGCAGGAAACATCCACTAAGTGGCACGGCGCATTTAAAAGCAAACGCCCCGAGGTCGTGCCACAGTTTTGTTAGGCTATGTAGGCTGAGGGGGCGCCAGCCATCAATTGAATTGCCAAAAAATTTAGCAGCTTCTGTTGGAGCAGCGTCCCAGCCAGCTGCCTATAAAAGCCTTTCAATTTTTTCACTTCTTATACGCTAGCTGTGGGCGTAACGAAATGTTCGGCAAGTTTGTTACATTTACATGAGATATATAGGCATATGAGGCATAGCTAATAAGCCTTATAGCTATGCCTCAAGCCTCTTAGCTTAGACGCTTCGAATGAAGTGAATTTCCATTGCTGTACATAAAAGAGAGAATGAGAAGGATAGAGGGATATATAAAATGCTATGCAATAGGAAAGAAACCTCTTCTCCCATATATGAGAGAGTGTTTCTGTGAAACATTATTTATCTTTCTCTCTTACTGAAACTTCGTAATAACTCCAGTAATCTACTCTGTTGCTTAACGTAAGCTCTCTGAGTGTTCGAGGTGTTTTATCAATCTAGTACAACAAAATCATATGGAATGAAACATCTTATACTCATTTATGGAACACATGATATGGAGAGTGTTTATATGAAACACTGTTTAGGATCTTTAAATTCCCCCCTCTCTCTTCAGAGTGAAACTTCGTAACTATTCCAATGATCGCCTCTAATCTCTCGTATACTTCGCCGTGTATTACTCCATATGGTATATCAAATTCATATGCAACTCTTTTACCAAATACATCTATACAACTCCTCTATCCAACTCTTCTGTCCAACTCTTCTATCCCACCCTGCACACACTAGAAAACTATTGTCTACGCATACAACTTTGATATATTTGCTATTGCAAGCGTATTCAAATTTCGGCAAATTGAAATTTTAGGCAAACCTTTGCTTCATTTTCGCATATTTTTTGGTTCGTTTTTCCTTTTTTGTGTGGATCCATGTTCTTTGGGGCTTG